GGAGGAGCAGTTGAAGGTCGCACACTGCTCCGACGACTCGGCCATGTGCTATTTTCTCACCGGTCTAGCCGACGAGGCCCTCACGGTGAAACTCGTAGAGGAGGCCCCGGCCACCTTCGCCGAGGTGCTTCAGAAAGCGAAGAAAGTTATCGATGGACAGGAGCTCCTTCGAACCAAAATCGGCCAAGGCAGAAGTGGAAAAGATATGGAAAATACAGATCCCAAGTCCAAGGACAAGGGATCCTTTTCCAACGGCCGAGCTGAGTATCGGAGGGCGGAGAACGGACCTACCAGGAGCCGACCTTACGAACGCTTCACCCCGACCACGATTCCAATTTCCGAGATCCTAACGAACATCGAGGAGTCTGGAATGGAAAAACTACTCAAACGTCCTGAGAAGCTTCGGGGAGCCCCGGAGAGACGCAGCAAGGACAAATATTGCCGCTTCCATCGGGAGCACGGCCATAACACGTCGGACTACTGGGAGTTGAAGAGCCAAATTGAAGATCTAATTCAGGATGGCTACTTCAAGAAATTTGTGGGAAAACCCAGGACCAGCTCGGCAGAAAAAAAGGAAGAGCGGAAGCGTTCGAGGACGCCGCCCCGGCGCACTGACCGACCTGCGGTCATCAATACCATTTTCGGAGGGCCAAGCGGGGGTCAGTCCGGACATAAAAGAAAGAAGTTAGCTCGTGCAGCCAGGCGCGAGGTGTGCATCATCAGGGAGCARAGGCCGACCTGCCCAATCACCTTYGACGRTGCAGACTTGGAKGAGGTCCACCTGCCCCACAATGATGCACTTGTGATCGCTCCCTTGATTGATCATGTGGTGGTCAGGAGGGTGCTGGTAGACGGAGGCGCATCTGCTAACATCCTGTCCTTACCGACCTACCTCGCCCTGGGATGGACGAGGTCGCAATTGAAGAAAAGCCCGACACCGCTGGTTGGGTTCTCCGGAGAATCAGTCGTCCCAGAGGGTTGTATCGACTTGCCGGTCACGCTTGGGCAGGACCAAACTCGGGTCACCCAAATGGCCGAGTTCGTGGTGGTTGACGGTAGATCGGCCTATAACGCCATCTTTGGAAGGCCCATCATCCATTCATTTCGGGCCATTCCCTCGACACTTCATCAAGTTTTGAAGTATTCCACCCCCAATGGCGTGGGCACGGTCCGAGGAGAACAGACCGCTTCAAGGGAGTGCTATGCCTCCRCACTCAAAGGTACATCGGTCTGCGCCCTTGAAACTCTCACCAGTAGGGATGGGACGCTCGAGTTCGAGGCCGACCTGCCGAKGAGGGAGTTTGCCGCACCCAMTGAGGAGCTCGAGCTTGTTCCTCTGCTTAGTCYCGAGAAGCAAGTGAGCATAGGAWCCAAGCTGGGGGCCACCGACAGAGARGAGCTAATCCACTTCCTCAGGTCCAACTCGGATGTCTTTGCGTGGTCSCATGAGGACATGYCTGGCATTGACCCGGAARTTATGACGCATCGCCTCAGCATAGATCCGTCATTCCGACCTGTAAAGCAAAAAAGAAGACCTGTAAACAAGGAGCGGAGTGATGTAATTGTTGAGGAAGTTGGCAAACTTTTGAAAGCTAAATACATAAGAGAAATTTYGTATCCCGAGTGGCTCTCCAATGTTSTATTAGTTAAAAAATCTAACGGAAAGTGGAGAATGTGCGTAGATTTTACGAACTTAAATAAGGCATGCCCGAAAGATTGCTTYCCACTGCCGAGGATTGATCAGCTCGTGGACGCCACAGCCGGGCACGAACTACTCACCTTCATGGACGCCTACTCTGGGTA